CAGAGAGAATGGTATATAGTATACACTGGAAAAAACATAAACATGTTAACAAATTTCTCAAAAATTATGCAAAGCAGAAGAGAATGGAGAAAATTATTTAAAGTACTGAAAGTAACAAAGCTATCAACCTAGAATTCTTTACCCAGCAAAAATTGCTTTCCTATATGAAAATGAATAAAGACTTTCTTATACACTTAAAAACTAACAGAATGTACCAATGCAGGCTTGTTCTACAAGAAATGTGAAAGAGAATTCTTGAAGCATACAAAAAACCATAGTAGATGTAATTCTGGGTCTAACTAAATACATGAACAGCACTGAAAATATTAACTATATAGGTAATTAAAGGACTTCCCTTATTTAAATTTCTTCAGAAAACAATTAACTGTTATTCAAGCAAAAGTAATAATGTATTTTGAGGTTTATAATATATAAGAATTGAAATTTCAAACAAAATTAGCACAAAGGCCTAGAAGAAAACATTGGAAATATATTGCAATAAGGTTTTTTAGCATGTATGGAATGTTATGTAAAATGATATATTACTTGTAAGTAGACTATGTTAAAAAATTTTACTATAACTCCAAAGTAATCATTAAAGCAACACAACTTTTATATATAATAAGTTAACACAACAAATATATGTAATAAAAATGTACTATCCAAAAAGATGTAAGAAAAAAAAATAGAGGGAACAGAGAATATATAAATCGGGGAAGTAGAAAATGAATAACGAGATCCTATATTAAATTTTTTAAAAAGCACATTAGCTGTAAACAGTATAAATAATTCAATTAAAACTCCATGGTAACTAGTTTATATAAAAATTCAATATCCAATCTATACTGCTCTGGGGAGCCAGTTAGCACTTTTAACCATCTGCGTATCCTCAACTTTCAAGGTTTTGGCTACCCCTTCATCTGGACCACTTCTCAGGATAGCTTTCGCATGTGTCCTAAAAAGTGAGATAACACAGTCAAAGTCTATACTACACCTGATCTTCCTCAAAATAAAGAATAGGCTTGCTTACTACTTGCTGGGAATTTGGAAGTTTCCCTAAGCCCAGGATTCTCTTCCTCTAGAGGACCTGCCAGTGTCTCCTGTCCCTAAGTCACCCTGTGAGATTTAGTGCTCAGGAAACCAGTACAGCAATGCTGATGCTCCTGTTACTACTACTGCTGTGAGTAATAAAGCCATTTCTCTCAGACGTACCAGACTCAGGTCCTCTGTTGGAATTCATGGAACTAAGGCAGCCTAACTTGTTAGCTTATAGAATTATTACAGTGGCACTTGCTCTGCTTCTAGCTCCCACATTTACCCCACTAGATCAAACATAAGGTAAAAATCTCAGCCCTGTTTAGAAGTAATCTACTTTAACCTCCTCTCCTTTCATACAACACAGAAGCAATCTACTTTAAAAATAAATACACAAGTGAGTTGAAATAAAAATGATTTAAAACATATTCCATATTAATCATAATCAAAAATATTAGTGACTAAATTAGTTTTGTGATATAGGCTTTTGAGCAAAGATATTACCAGGGTCATTTCATAATGCTAACAGGGTCAGTCCAGTAAAATTGCCCAAAGATTCTAAACACCCATGCACTTAACATCAGAGCTGCAAAATATATTAAGCAAAAGCTGATACAACTGCAAAAAGAAATAGGCAGATCCACAATTATGGTCAGAGATTTCAATGACACTTTCTTGCTATTAAAAAAAAAAAAGGCGGGGGGAGCCTGGGTGGCTCAGTGGGTTAAAGCCTCTGCTTTCAGCTCAGGTCACGATCTCAGGGTCCTGGGATGGAGCCCCACATCGGGCTCTCTGCTCAATAGGGAGCCTGCTTCCTCCTCTCTCTCTGCCTGCCTTTCTGCCTACTTGTCATCTCTGTCTGTCAAATGAATATATAAAATCTTAAAAAAAAAAAAGGAAAGTCAGTAAGGGTATAAGAAACTTGAATATTATCCAATAATTGATTCAATTGATGCTTATAGTATATACCATATAAGGACAGCAGTAAACACATTGTTTTTGATTGTACAAAAATATTTACCAAGATAGATCTTATTATAATTAATACAAATTTAAGGATTCAAGTATTAAGTACGATATTCCCCAAAGATATTGGAATTAAACTAGAAATCTAACTGATGACCTGGAAAATATCCAAATACATGTAAACTTAATCCTATACTTCAAAATAATGTGAGTCAAAGAAACATTCAAGAGGGAAATTAGAAAGATGTGTTTTCTGGAGAAACATAACATACCATTTCAATTTGTAGAATGCAGCTATAAATATAGGGACTTTTCCAATAGTAACTATATCGACTAAGAAGAAATGTTTCAAATCATTAACTTCAGATTCTATCCTAAGTAACTAGAAAAAGAAGAGCATTTTAAATTAAAAGTAAACAAAAGAAAGGAAATGATAAAAGTCAGAGCATGAGTTAATGAAATAGAAAACAATAAAACAATAAAAAAAACCAATGTAGTCAATAATGGGTTCTTGACAAGATCAACAAAGTTTATGAACTAATAGCTGGATTGATCAAGGGGGAAAAAAAAAAGAAACAAAACAGAAATTTCCAATATTGGAAATGGCAAGATAACATTACTGCTGATTCTACAGATTAATAAATATTAGTGTATTATGAACAAACTTATGGCAATAAGTTAGAAAATTTAGGCAAAACAGACAAATTCTTTAAAGGATATAAAGTCATTACAGCTTACTAAAGAATCACTGAATGTCTTTATATTTAATAAAGAGATACATAAAACCGGAAAGATGCCAATCTTCTACCTCCCACAAGAGAACAGCTGGATAAACTGAAAATAATGACTTTTCTTGAAACTCTCAGGGAACTGAGGTCATGGGGCAAACAACTACTCAGAAATATTGAGTGACACAGAAAGCCTTCCAGAGAAACTGGGCCGGAGTATTTGTTTACCTGAGGCAGACATGACCAAATGATTTATACATAAGAATAAGCTAGAATATTTTAACAATTTCTTAAAGGCTGCGAGAGAGTGTAAAACCACAAGGATATCAGACATACTTACATTTACACCATTTGAAAGATTTTCTCCCAAAATATCACCAGACACTCACAGGGAAGATCAGAATGAGCCCTGAGAACACGTCCCTCAAGGTGATGGTCTGGATACTAGAATAGCAACCTCTGCCCAAAATGTACCCACAACCTTCACTCTTAAATCTTCTAAGGATTAAAAGGTCTTATCCAAATTTGTGGTGTGCAAGCTTGTCTAGAAATCCATGGACAATACAGGAAGGAAAGATAAGCTATAGACAAAAATCTTCCCAGACCTTTCTTCTATCATCTGCGGGAACAAAGGCTTCAAGACGCCAGCCTGAGGGCATTGAAGCCTCCAGATGAAATGCAGCTCTTACAGTCACCTTGATTTTAGCCAGTGAAATGCACATCACACTTCTGACCTCAAGACTATCATATGATAAACTTGTATTGTTCTATGTCACTGGATTTGTGGTAATTTCTTAAAGCATCAATAGAAAACAAATACAGCTGTCATTCTAATATTTTACACAAATCCTCTTGAAAATCATGCACTATTAACCCCTTTAGGAAAATCTAATCATGTTTCAACATTTTCAGTGCTTACTTAGAAAATTCACCACTAATACAAATGCTAATCTCGGTAATATTTTTGTCACTGTCTGTAATTCTCTTCCATATCTGTTTATTTTTTTCTCATACACAACAGTAAAATTTACTTTTTTGATCCCAAGATTAAGCTTCAGTTCCAACTTCTATTCCTTGTTAACTGAGGATAGCATGAAGTATGTCTGTTTAAACTCCCATAGCATATACCATTTGTACTATTCAATTCATTGTGTCATTTATTAGTAAAATTGCCACTTTCCCTTTGTATTTGTCTTATCAATGTAGGGACATTAGAATTTGTCTGTAGTATAAGTGCAATTCTCAGTTTGCATTTTGAATTTATTTTCCTGGATACATTTTGTTTCTGTAGTTTGACCCGAGTTTTTGACCCGAGTTTTTTTCTGTTTATATTTTTTTAATTTAACAACAGCTTTAAAACAAACAAACAAAAAACATTAAGCTGCATCTTTAATTATAATATACAAAGGTGTCTCCGAAAAATCTCATAAGAGAAGCTTTCTCTAAATTCAGTTGTATAAAGAGAATAGATTCCCTTTATCATGATGGTCAGTTTTTTTACCTTACTTATATGACTGAAGAGTTCTGATAAATTTTTGATAAAGAAAAAGAAAGGCCAGTGTTGGTAAAAACAATGTATGGCAATTAAAAAACAGTATAATCAACAGCCAGAGAAAAAGATTGGTTTGGGGAGGCAAGCTGAAATTTAAAAATAGACCAGAAGTTAATATAATCAACCATTCCACAGAATCAGGAGAATAGTTTTATGTTGGTGAAAGTGGGCTGTTTTTGCCTATAGACAGGAAGAGTGAAAGGATGACTATGAGAAGCTGGAAATACAATTCAAGGCCCCATTGAGGTTAGGTCTTATAAATATGAACTATTACAATGTGAACTTACCAGAGTCACAAAGCAAAGGACACTTCTTTTTCAGGTACCTAGATCCCAAAAGACTTCATCTTAGGCATTGCTGGTCATAGCACAAAACATAAAAGTGGTCAAGCTTAATCTTACAGCTCCAGCTTAAAGCTTTGAAGAAGAAACCTCTGAAAACTTCAAAATTGTCAAACTGCTAGTTTTTTTTTTAAAGATTTTATTTATTTATTGGACAGATAGAGATCACAAGTAGGTAGAGAGGCAGGCAGAGAGAGAGGAGGAAGCAGGCTCCCTGCTGAGCAGAGAGCCTGACGTGGGGCTCAATCCCAGAACCCTGAGACCATGACCTGAGCCGAAGGCAGAGGCTTAACCCACTGAGCCACCCAGGTGCCCCAAACTGCTAGTTTTTAATGAAAAAATAAAAACTCATCAAACATTTTTTTTTTTTTTTGCTTTTTCATACACTTTATTGCCAACGGTTTAAAATGGTCAACATAAAAAAAAAGACATTTTGATAATAAATACTGCTCTTTTGGCTGTAATAAATAAAAAGTTTATTAACAAGGAATGCACTTTTCCAGCCACAAATGTCTTCAAAAATTAACAAAAAAAAATTATATATGGCCATAGTTCACAGTTGAGTAGCCAAAAGCTGCTCCAATTACAGCCTTTAAACAACATGGGAGCTTCCTCCCTTTCCCTCCCCTTTGGGAAGTATATTCACAGTTCCAAGTCCTCTGTCTGAAATGCTCTCAACAGAGAGAAGAGTCAATGCACCTTTCTGCAAAATTGTCTGAAACACCTTTTAAAACAGGTACGTCAAGGAAAACTGCATTCTGGTTCACTCTCAGATCGTCCAAAGTTCAGAACTATATGCCTCAGCCTGGTCTGGCTCCATCTAGTCCTTCAGGCCCTAGAGGAATTGTTTTCGTACCACCACCTGTCCATCTTTTTCAACATGCTGTAGACCATCTGACTGGCTTCCCTGTAGATCTCACAGTGGAAAAGAGGCGTCCCATAGGGTCCATTCAAGAAGTCTTTCAATTACATCTCTGTAAGAGCATGTTCAGAGCATATTCCATTCGATGCTTTAATTCTAACGAACAGCCAGACATCAGCAGAGTTGTCAGTCTGAATGTTGTAGATATCCTGTCCTCGTTGATGTAAGTGAGAAGATATTCTTCATTTTGGCTACAAATGATTATTTTCGTATGATCATGGTAGAAATTCACCTGAAAGGTGCCATCATTGAAGAGCATCATTAAGGCCTTATCAGATTTTAGCCACTGAAGGAGGTAGAGCCAAAGTCTTCGGATATTGGTAACACTAGGCAGATCTCCACCATCCATGAGGTTCTCCTCCATGTAATGAGAGAAGTATTTGAGCACCGTCACTTGACTAATGAATTGTTCAGGGGCATCTGTTGCAGGGAAAACAGAGCACTGGCCAAGCTCTGCATAATAGTGAACTGTTTTTTTATCTGGAAGCAAGCTCATGTGAGCACCATTGTTGAAAAGGACACCTACAGTGTGGTCTGAGAGCTGGTACCCAAAGCCGTATTTGTTAGAGTAATCGACCCATTTGGTGACCCACTGAAAGGAAGTGCTCAGCTGCTCTTTGGGAATGCAGTCAGCTTCTGGCATGTTTTCTAGACATCCTCGAAGGACTCTTGCTACTGTGTCTGCAACACTGCCCATGGTACTGTCCTCAAGGCATTCACTGCTACTGCTGCAGCTGCCAAGAGTCCCTTGGACGATCATGCGAATAGCATCTCCCATCTGCTGCTTATTTTCTACTGCAGGAGTTCCAGATCTGGCAACTGTAGTGGTAGGTGGCTGGAGCTCCTCATCTGTCCTGTGTTTGCTGGGTTGCTGAGTTATTGAAGTCTTTTTCAAATCATGCCTAAGCTTGTAAATTTCTTCATCCTCTTTAGACATTCTATTATGTGTGTCAATATATCTTGCTTTGTCTTTTTTGCCACCAAAAAGAGCAGCAGCTGCTTTCTTAAAGAAATTCTTAGCCGGGCTTGACAAGTGGAAATCTGGAACTGTATGACAACAGCTAGAAGAGAGTCTGTCTGGAGTAAAGCCCTGCAAAAAAAATTCATGTCGAATGATGTCATCCAAACTGGGATGATCCTCTGGATTCTTGGACAACATGCTAGCTATTAGGTGCTTAGCAGGAGCCAGCAATGAAGATGGCATTGTATACCCTGCTTCTCTTATGCACCTGTAAGTTTCTTTCAAATTTGTCGTTTCAAAGGGGGGTCTTCCTAGTAACATTGTATACATTACACAACCTAAGGCCCAAATGTCTGATTCACAGCCATGTCCTTGCTTGTTGAGGACTTCAGGAGAGAGGTAATTTGGAGTACCACATATTGTTCTCCTTCTGTGTTCCAAGGGTTCCAGCCTGGCTGCCAAACCGAAGTCCCCGACTTTTAATTCCATGGCTTCATTAATAAAAAAGTTCCCTAGTTTGAGATCTCTGTGTAAGATTTCTTGTTCATGAAGGTACTTTAGTCCAGACACAATCTGCCTGAGGTAGTATCGGACTTCTGGCTCTGTCAACACCTTCCTTGCTTTCAAGATATGAGCCATGGACCTTCGACTGCAGTATTCCAAGAGAATGTAAATGTTTTCTTTGTCCTCAAAGTAGTGGTAAAACTGCACTACATGCTTATGATGAAGGATTCTGTGAAGCTCTATTTCTTTGTCAATCTTTTCCCTTTGATGAGGTTTAGCTACTCTGCTATGAGGAATAATTTTTGCAGCATAGACTTTGTTGTTTGTCAAATCTGTCATCTCGTAACATTTGGCAAAGCCACCCTTTCCCAGCACTTTGCCCCGGCAGTAGCGCTTTCCCGTCGTGGGGTCCACGATAATCCGCGAGATCTCGGCCCCCGAGTGCGAGTGGTGGTGATGGTGGTGGGGGGCCGCCGGCTGTCCCCTGCGCCTGGGGCTGCGGCGGCTGCGGCTCCTCGGGGGGGCTGCTGCGGCCGCTTCTTATTCGAGTCCCCGCCACAAGCCTTCCCCAGCGCCTGCTCGCACATCTTGGCGCTAGCGGCCGGCTGGTAGGTGATAGTCCGCAAGAGCTCCATCGTCGCCTCACGGCCAGGCACCTCCGAGGTGCGGACACACGTCCGAGCTGGCCCTTGCCCTCGAGCCCCCGCCTCCTACAACAACCCGCGCCCGACGTCCGCGTACACTTGTCCAAACATTTCTTTATGGTAGGTCTATCTATCTATCTATCTATCTATCTATCATCAGTCATCTATCTCTATCGTCATCTATCTATCCATCTAAATATAAAAGTTAACTGAGTTTACCTTGAGAAAGTTTATCATTGTGTATCAACATCAACTGCATTCATGAAAAGATAAGTATTAAAATGGGAATGAAGCCGTGAGATTAGAAGAGCACCCCCCAAAACAGAAACCTGTGATGCCAGAAATTGAGTTGGGTCCCCATTGGGCTAAACACCAATTTCATGGAAGGTGAGTCTTTCTGTGTTTTGGGTTGTTTGTTATCATTAAATAGGTATTGTTTAGGGATCCAGTTTCTTGGTTCATTTATCATCATCATCTCAAGTAGATTATGGCTAATGATGGGTAAATATGCAGTAGTGTTTTGGATTTGTGAGGATGTTTATTTGTCTGTTGAACATGAAGTTTTGTTAATACAGTCATTTTTCAACCTCCCCAAGTTGTGGTGATTTATATCCACATAGATTAAAAAAAGTGGAAATTAATTTCATGCCATCAATTTGCTTTTCCACTAAGTAATTTGGGATACTAGATGTTGGTTTAAAATGTAAGAAGAAAATTAACTCCCAGCAAATTTACCCATTCAGTTGGACTTTACTTTTCCATTAAAGAAAGAACTTTTGAGTATACATAAATCATTAATTTTGCATTAAAAATAATATAAAAGCCTAGTTATTACAATTACTTCTAACCCATATATATATATATGTAATTATGAAATACATGTCATTTTGCCTTATTTTGTTACTCATAGCAGCAGATATTCTTTTATAGATGATTTTGTCAACAAGTGCATTTGTAAAGCTCCATGCTATATATCAGGGTAGATTCTTTAAAAGTTTTTAAAAACCATTGGTTCAAAATAACAGAATTCTGTTTATAGTGTGACTAATTTTTCACTATACAAAGACATACAAAGGAGTTCTGATATTCATTCTATTCTTCAAATTAGCAATACAAGTTCATTAGGAAACAGAATATTGATTTGATGTTTAGCCTTTCTCTATCCATGTCAGTCTTCTCTGAAAAAGTTGTTTAAATTAATATGTTTTTCATTTATTTATGCACTATTTTATCAGTATTATCCAAATATAGAAGAAACTTACCAAAATATACCTGTAAAAGCAAAAAGTATACATCAGACATATGGAAAGGATCAGAAATATAATTATATGTCCTCTTTTGTAAGGATGTTGTATATTATTATTACCACTTTACCAGGGAAGGGTTTTAGGTTCCTGGAAGATGAGAAAATAATCAAGGATCAATTAAACAGCTGTCAAACAAATATGGTGCTCTCTCAGATCATGACTGGATTCTCTACATGTGTTCATTGCCATAAGTGTTGATTGCAACCATACATAAATACATGAATTCTTGATGTCTTCACTGATATTTTGGAAGCTTAAAATTTTTCATAGGACAATGGTGTATATATATTGTATATGGACGTTTTCCAAGAAGAAAATGGTTACATTTACAAACTGCTCTCCTTTTTTTTAATATCCATAACTCTAGACATTGAAGAAAGTTATGAGGTCATATTTCATAATCTAACTTTCAGAAAGACAAATATCAATGCTATATCCTTTCAGCTATTTGGTAAGAATTTTCAGTATTGGAGAAGCCACTTTACAGGAGACATTCTCAGTACCATTGTGCTGTGCATTGTATCCTGTTTCCAATAACTTCGTGCACATTACTATTCTGGTTACCTTTTTTTGGGTTGAATTCTACACGATTCAAAGGTATTGCTTGGCACTTAGTTAAGTGGATACACATTCCTATTACCTTTTTAAAATTCTAGACACAAGGCCTTCATTAATATAACCAGAAACATCATCACCTCCTAAAATCACATCCTAATCCTGTCAATAATTGGATCTATCTCTTTGAATCATAAATCTGTCACCACTTGTATTCTCTACTTCTATCATATAAGTTCACATTGCATTTCCTTAAGTATGACATATAGGATATTCCCCTTGCTGTGTGCCCACCAAGTCTATAAAAGAGTAAGTTACATTCTGTGTTCTTATCACCCTTAAAAGGAGAGCCCCAAACCCTCTGTGTGGAGCTTCTAAATGTAAATTTGAGATCTGGTGAATAAGAGAACTGGTTATTGCCATGTTGAAAGGAAGAAATGTGGGAAACCAGAGGATAAATGTGAATTTTGGGAAATGTTCATTTCTGGAGTTAAACAAATTAATTTGGGAAGAGAAAGTACCCTTTGGAAACAGTGAATCTAGGGGGAAAAAAGACTAAAAAGTTTCTCTGTTTTAAAACTCAAAAACAAGTTAATATCAATAAATCAGAAGACTGACTCTCCCCCCCCAAACACAGCATATAATTTGTTATGAAAATTGTATGCTAATGTGGCAACTGATGAAAACAATCTGGAACTAAGAAACCAAATAAACCTCTCATTCTTTCTCCATGTATGATTGTCTTATATTGCAGGTCTGTGAAAACAAATAATCATGAATACAAAAAAAAAAAAATCAAACAAAACCTCATATTCATTCAAAATTAATGCAATAACATAGACTATGAGAATCAAAAACTTTTAGGAAAAAAACAGTACTCTATAACAGTCTAATTAGAAGAAAAATCTAATTCAACATTACAATATGAATTAAATATAACACCAAACTAATACAAACGGGGGGGGTGCAAAATTCAAAAACTAAAACAAAACAAAAAAACCCTTACATCAAAACTGTAAAAAAGATATGGACAATGATTTTATTTTATGCAGAGCCCTTGGGAGAGGTAATGGCAGGGATAGATGAGGCTACATTTCCCAAATGCATAGACAGCTGTCTGGACTTTTGACTTTGTGTGGCAAATTATTTGTGAGCATAACTTATATTGCCATGTTCAAGAAGATGTTTCAAGAGCTAAACTATAGACATCCATGCTCTATTCTGTCCCATGCCTTAATGAGTAGTCATGTGTCAACCAGACATTGTCTTGGTATTCTTGGCTCTGAAATGGAAGTGGATTTCTCTCTTCACACTATATTCCTTTGTTTCTTTAATGCTATATCATAACTTCACATTTTTAGTCCCATTTGTATTAATTATTAATAATTTTAATTTTAGTGTCACTTGTTTTAACTTTCCCACATATTCAAGTGATCACATCTTCCTTGATTTCTTATTTGTCTTGAGGAAATTTAGCTGAATATTCTTTAACACCTCCTACCTCTTCTGACTTCCGTTTCTTCCCTGATCTTCGATTTTACTTGGAAGATGTATTGGCGTACTAGAGGGGCCATACAAAATACCAGAGACTGGGTGTCTTAACCAACAGAACTGTATGTTCTCACGGTCCTGGAGTCTAGAAGTTCCAGCTCAAGATAAGCACTCTCTCCCTGGCTTGTAGATAGTCATCCCTGCACTAGATTCTCACCTGAACTTTCCTCTGTGCCTCTGTGGACACTTCCCACAGATGTGCTTTCTGGGGTCTCTTGGAAGAACACTAAGCCTATCAGTTGAAGACTCCACTCTAATGACATCATTTCACCTTCATTACCTCCTTAGAGGTCCCATCTCCAAACACAGCCACAAGGAGGGTAGTAATTTTGACAAAGGATTTTGAGAAGACACAAACAGGTAGGTCATAGCAGAAGACTTGACAGCACTTCAGGCCACCATTTTGTATTCTGAGGTGCAAAGGTGCTAGATCATTTAGGACGCTGGGTGACATAAGCTTAGGCAAGGGCTTTTTTTTGTTTTCGGAGACCCTGTGTCAGGATCTACTCCACTAATCCAGCAGTTTATTTCATTCTTTGGAATTTCATCTTGTATATTCCTCTTATCTTCATCCAAATGAGAATATATATCAGGCTGTTAAGAGGGTATTTTTCAGAAATATTTGTAAATATCCTCTACCAATGAATTACTAGACATGCAGACCTTTTTAATGTATCTAAATTACAGGAAGGTTTATATTTTAAATAATTGCTGATATAGCCTTGGAAGATCTTGTATCCAATATTTGATCAATGCATACCATTTGGAGAATCCTCTTAAAACTCTAAGTATGTAATATATTTTTAAATGGTGGTAACTATTGAAATTAAACAATCAAAACCTTCCATAAACATCCAAAATTTAAAACAAAATAATAACAAGAAAATTTAAATTACTTCATTTTACCATCTGTTTGCATTCATGTTTAATGTGCCAAATCATAATTTGCAGACAGAAATTATTTTTCAAGCTACATAATTAAACTTTAAAACAGAAAGGCCTCATTTATAAAATACTAGTGCTGACTTAGATGTTATTGGAAGTACAATTTCAGATGTTGAGAAGAGGGATAGAAGATTTTGTTAAAGAATATATCACAAATAGCATCTCAGCAAGGGTTACCTAATTTTTTAAACCTGAAAATAAAGTACTATTTTGTCATCCCAATGTCAATTTCTCAACTGGCCTTAATATTCCTTATGAGCATCAGAGAATCTCTTATGGAAATTATTAGATAAGACGAAATTTTGCTAGTAGTAGTCTAAAGGATTAATCCAAATTATATTTATTTGTAAAAAAATAGATGTGTTTTAATGGCAAATGAATATAAAATATATTGAGTCCATGAAGATAAATAGAAGACCCATGATCACAGCCCTCACCTTTTTTTGTTACTTTTGAATATCTTGAGAGCAGTTATTTTGTGCTTTGCCTTTAAATTTTATCTCAGGAAGTTCCTTTCCTAGGCTGCATTTATTTATTTGTTTTTTGTTTGTTTATTTATTTATTTATTTATTTTAGTTTGGATAGCCTAATTCTGGATTACCTTCAGAGAAAATGTGTGATGTGGGAGGGAGAAATCTTTAAGCATAGAGGTCAATAGCTGTGTTGAAGTCAGTTAGAACATCCTGACTTACAGTAAGATAGCTCTATTTCATG